GGTAGAATACTCGGGGAACACTTAAAAGTAACCTTTGCATAGTTCCTTCAACAACCACCCAGGCAAAAAATTGCCCATGCTTTGAAATTGGTACAAGCTGAATTATCTGAGTGAATGGACAAAGAGTTAAGCACTCACGAAAGGAAGGGATGCATCTAAATGCTCAATAACTTTATAAATATAAAATCTACATAACCTGCCAGTGGCTGCCCGTAAGGGCAAGCTCATGCTTCTCAAAATAAGAGTTGACCCCATTTCTTCCCCGAGCTTGTTTGTGATTGACCACACTACCACGCACCTCAGCAATAGCATTAGATTGGTTTAATGGCCTTTAATTTGTCCAACCTGCCAGAGTCAGGTATGCCCCACTAACTATCAAGAACCCGAGCATAGACCATGAAATTCGGCCCAAGTATGTGGAAGTCAAAGAAGAAAGTACCTTTGTCGTTTCCTTTTCTCATGAATCTCTTTCCACTTTCTCTTCTTTAATTCAAGCCATCCTTGATAATCAACATTTCTGTCTATGTTTTCCTTAGGGATAGCATTTTCTTGGAGAGGATTTAGTAGACAATTTGTCTTCACCAGATGCTGTTCATTATTGACTCCAACAACACCGAACGATAGGTCTAGGTCCAACAACAGAAGTCCTTCCTTTTTTCCTGAAGTCTTCCATATCTTCAATACTCTGTTCAGCAGTTGCATGGTTAGGGGCATTAGCATCAGTTCTCAGCTGCATTCGACCTTCCTTGTTTGACGAACTGAATATATCGACCAGTTTCCGTTGGCGCAATTTGTCCTCCTTTTCATGAACCTTCTTATGCAACCAATCAGGATGAACTACTCTAGGAACCGGATTTGCAACCTGCAAAAATCATCTCACTGTTGTAAATCAAAAAGGTAGAATACTTCAACAGAAAAATATGATGAGTAGGCACCTTCTGCATTGCAGCAGGAATGGTGATAATTTTTTGACAGCAGCAGAACTAAGCCGTTGCTTGTAATAAGACCAATCAACAATGGAGCGGATGCCAACATCTGATGAAATCTTGCACCACTTTTTTACATAAAAACTTCATAATTTCTGCAATATGAAACACTGAGCCCTTTTCTCCTTTGTATGTAAAAGATGCAAGAAAGTACAACCAATAAACTAATAGAGAATTTTACCAGCATCAGTTTCAAATATGGCAACAGGAACAGCACGCTCACTGACTGGGGTTCCCTGCTCATGTTAGCATGACAACAACCATGAAATCCAAGTACAAAAAGAAATACATAAAAAATCAAAAAGAAGAGAGAAGCAAAAGGAATGACCAAATTGTATGATGGGGACAAGAAATCAGACAGAATGTAGATATATTGATGCGACCAATCCACCACAGGTGAAATGCCATTATCACCGAAACAAAGATCAACCATATTTCAGAAATGAATTGGCATATGACAACTGCATTATCTTGAATAAGTGATTAACTTATGGTTTGCATCAAAGGGCAAGGCAAAAGTAGCATTGCGGAAAAAAAATTCACTTTAGGGCATAGCAAATGTGTATATATATATATGTATAGAGAGAGAGAGAGAGTCTATAACTTAATTAAGCATTGATTATTCCCATAGCATCAATTTTGTGGGAAATAAAAGATGAAGCCGCAGATTTCAAACAAAGATCTTCAATTTTCTGATAAGAAATGGCATTCGCTAAACTAATAACGTAAGTAACGTATAAGATGCACAAGAAAGCCAATTGTGATAGTGAAGACAGACTGGAAAATAGAACTACTGGTCTGAAAAATGTAGTGATGAGAAAACTCTTTAAAATATAGCTTTTTGGGCACAAATTAATTACAGTCTGTATCTACAATAAGTTGCATGGACAAAGAAGAAAAGCATTAAATAATCAAAAAAAAAAAAGAAGGGACAGCAATTGCTTGGTAGAAAATGTTGAATATGGGATTTTACGGCACAAGAACTTTAAATCTAATGAATCTGTACTTCTTCAGCTGATACTAGTACATACCAAAAAAAAACATATCAACTTTTTCAGTGATTCATTTAGAAATAAATTTAGATGAGCATAACAGGCTGCAGAGAATATGAAATATCTGCTTAAACAAAGTGATTGTGAAGATGTATATATCACTTGACTGAGTACAACTCTGACCGCATGGTAAACAACTTTACAGAGCAACTCTATGGCATTAAGTGAATCAAAGACTTAGACAAGGACCTATGGGTAGAATGTAAAGATGTTGGGTGCAAGAATCAAATTTTGTTTCGAAACAACCGAAACGTTTCTGTTTCCGAGGAGACCAAAACAAATCAGTGGTGAAATCGAAATTTCAACGTTTCAAAGTATTTCGGAACATTTCAAGGTGTTTTGAGATGTTTCGATATGTTTCGGCATATTTACACCATTGTTTCGGAATATTTCGAAGTATTTTAAAATGTTTCGGTATATTTCAACCAATGTTTCAAAAATAAATTCTAAAATTTTTTATTCGCTTCAATTATGTTCCGAAATGTTTTCATTTCTTAAATGACCGAAACAATGCACCAAAATAAAATTTTGACCCTTGATTGGTGACAGGCTGATCTGCTTTGGATGAAAAATTAGGATGATGGATACAAGGAGATTTTAGCGCAAATGTGGGCCATGGTGAGAATGAATCCACAATTCCGCATGTCTATTTTCTTAACTGAAATTAGTCCAACATGTGACTGAGAGTAATCTTGATCTGATGCAGTACGTATAGAAAATGGTGATGATAATGCTGTTATGGCACGCATTGATGCTGATGAATCATAACTCATAAGGCATCCCAGAGATTGATAATACTTTCATCATGAGGCAAGGGACAACAATCACCACTCCTTTGGTATAAATAGTTCTAAGTACACATCAGTCAGACACAGTTGATAACCAGGAAGCAATATTGCAGGCAAATCATGAGGAAATTAACAGTTTAAGCAAGGACTCAAAGCCTTGCTGCCAATTTTTTGCAAGAGTTATAAATAGTTTTTGTTAAGGATAGCTGTCATTAGGCTGACAAGGTTGCAGCACCAGGAAAAGGTAAAAAGTAACGAAGAAGATGTTTATGTTCACATTTTACCAATCCTCTTTTGCACCATAGGATTTTTGTAATATTCACTATGAAGCTACATAATGAATATCAGGACCAATATGAAGTTAGTTCCAAATCCAACTTCTGAAGCCGGGGATATCCGGTTCACTTTTCATAGGTTTTCCTAATCAAAAAGCCCTGTTCTAGCAAACTAACAACTCTAGTTTATACTGAAAGGAAATGGGCTAGCCAACCCATGAATAAAATTTTTCATTAGCCTGATTTTCTAGTGTCCGTTGCCCTATTATAATTTTGATTGCTTTACGTTTCTCTTTTATTATTTTATTTTAACCTTCTTTTCTGGTCATATTTTATCCTATATTGGTCCATATTGAAAGTTCATGAAAAGATCCATCAAGCCACAATTTGAAACAGATGCATACCCTTGGTTCACATGCAACTATATACTGACAAAGCAGTCCTTTGTCTTTAACCATTGTATCACCAAGAAAGTCAGCAAGGCGTTTTGCAGTGGTTACTGCACATGACTTTTGTACACCGTAGTCTGCTAAGGACTTGCTCATTGTGCTTGATTCTGATATGTAATCAAGCAACTCACTGTCTGCAATGTCTTTTCCTTGATTCTGAAAAATGCATAAATTCATGAGAAGAAATGCCATTTTCTATTTTTCACAAATGCAGCCATGACAATTTTTGGTAAATAGCAAAAGGTAAGTTTAAAGTTAAGGGAGTCTGCCCAAGACTTCAGAGGAATACTCTAAACAAATTGACAATGGAATCATACAGAATGATGTTCCTGTTACATACATCAAGAAGATCAAGCCACCGGTTGGCAACAGAAGCAACTGCTGAATAGCACTCCTCAAGGCTTGACCCATGTAGGAATTTATCAAAAAGTTCAGCCTGCAAAGAACAGAGTAACTTAAAGCACTAACAACATTAATGCAGTTTTGGAAGATTGCGTTCACAAAATCATTCAGAAATTTAATGAAGATAATTATATAGCAACTGGCAGCAAACATTTCAGTCCTGTCAGAGAAACAATTCAAAAACACAGGAAGATACTCAACTGCACAAAACATCTGACCAAATTTCTTTTTTGTCCACTTCAGCTAATGAAACAGTATATGGATCCTAATTCCTAAAAAACAAAGACCCACAAGGAAGCTTAAAGTATAGAGAACAAGGAAGTCCTATATTAGGACAGATGAGTTTGACTAAATCATCTATTACAAGTGGTTCAATGGATGGGCTGTGTTCTGACATTCTAATACCATCCAACTGTTTTCCTGGTGATGAAATATGGAAGCGAATCTCAATTTCAAGTGCTGTGTACAGGGCTACTTCTTATAAGTAGTTCAAGATGGATCCATTCAATGGCAAATCTTCAGGAATTCTGCTACTAAATTACAAAGGCGGAGGCTCAATAAAAAATGAAATAAAAAAAGCACCAACTCCAAAATTTCAATGTTCACAAGACACATCAGTGAACATTCACTTAAAGCCAATTAAATTTTTTAAAATGTTAAAGGCAGAGCATCTTTCATAATCCTTTCCTCCTAGACAAAGCTTATCTATTTGTCATGAGCCAAGATTCTTTTACATCTCACCATTGCCCTTGTTATTTCACTTTTTTCAAGTTCTTTTTAATTGCAAACAGTGCTTATTATAGCCCCACATTAGCATACTTAGCATCTAGACTCTCTTCTTGAAACATTTGCAGAACCACTGAAGTCAACTTGGCAATTACAGAACATCAACACTAGAAGCGCTGAATTATAATAATGCTATTGCAAACTCCTGCTTGCTAAAGTAGAAAATGTAAGCAAATTTATATAAACCGTTCCCCTGGCCATGAATGAAACATAAACGTGCTCATTTGATTTGAAAGATATCCGATAACAAGTGAGCACAGCTTGCACTACGAAATAAAAGCTAAGTTTGTTTTTAAAGTAGCATCAAGTCACTGTAAGTAACCCGTAGCTAGTAAACAGAAAATGGTTTAGCCAAAACAATTATTAGAACTATATGCAGCTTAGATCATTGGATGCATCTGCTGAAACAGTTAAATTAAACATATTACCCTCTTAAATAGAAAAAGTAACAACCCCTCAATTGCATTTCACAGTGAAGAAAAAGCATCTCCCATTCCCTGGTAGAAAATTATTTAGTTGGGCTAGTTCCGTAAGCAACAGTTGATACCTGGAAAACTTTGATGAGCTTTAGCTCACCTCTGCGCTTGATCTCAAAGCCTTTTAACTCTGCAAGAGTTCCATCATCATTAAAAACAGCATAACGCTTCTTAATCAAAATCCCTTCCTCCTTTGAAGCGGGAAGAATCATTGCCTGCATGCCAAGAATAATTTCCAATAATCACTTTTTTCTATCAAGAAAAAACAGGAAAAACAAAAGTAAAACCGAATAAGAAGTCACAATTTGACATTAGCGTATGGGATTCAGCCACTTCACCTTATAGGGTCCATCCACTTCAAATTCAATTGAACATTCGCTATGTGTGGCATACTTCCTACTAATAGGATCTACGAGTGTCTGTCAGAAATAAAAGTTAGACACTCATGACAACATATCAAAAAGTGCAAGAGTCAGATATACGGAAGGAATAAGTTATCCTCTAACCTGGTACTGATCATTTGTATTGTTACTAGCCACATCAACATTAAGCATAACACAAGGATATGAAATTGTCAGCTTCTTCTTTGAGTCTCTGCAATATATGTTCCCCATAAGATTCAGTGTCTCCAGTAACACCGTCCAAACCAGGTAACCACTAAAATTTTCAAAACCAAAAAGACTCCTAGACACTTAGAAAATCCAAATAGACCATATGCAGATATTGAACAAGACAACCATACTGTGTTTTAAAGGTGAAGTTTTCGGGGAATGACCCAGGTAAGGCACACCAGATACCATCCGTGTCTAGTTCAAGTGGTCTTCCAATTCTTTCAACCAGTAAACGAGCATTCTGAATAATTTTAGCTCCAGTATATGTAACAACCCCTGCCATTTCCATTGAGTACCATCTTGCACCCCTGGCAAGAAACCATGCATTTAAAGAGAGCAGCTGGGAAAAAAAAAAAACACTATAGCCAAAAAAAAATGTGCAACATAAAGCCTAAAGGAAGACATGGAAACTTACTTGCGCATGACATATCCATAAAAAGAATTCAGAATACACTTATGAGCCAGTTGTAACGAATCATAAAGAACTACCATATCCTGCAAATATTAATGGGCAAAGACAGTGATTAATGACACTGACAACAGATGAGTATATCTGTTCAAATAAAAAATAAACAAAACTTTAGACATGAGAGAGCGAGAAATGGAGCACCCATTACTTGTGCTTCTTGTATCTTTATAGGATTCCCACTAGTCTTTGCTTCTGACAACTTCCCTTTCCAAACTTTATTTAGTCCTTTGTATTCATACCTTCTGTCTCGAAAGCTTTAACCAAAACAAAAGAAAATATGATTTAGCATAGGACAACTGAACCCGGTAGAGCCTTTACCCGGGTTTTCAGTAGGAAAAATTGTACCCAGTCTTCATCAAACCTAAAACCATTACATCAAACCGGAGCAAAGAGAATGATGATACATCACAATATTAGGTGACTAACCTGCGGACAGTATCAACATAAAAAGGGTTTTCCCGCATGCAAATCTCTGCTTCTCGAAGCTCAGTAACTGGCTTGTCAAGTACCCTTTTATATGCCTATGAAGCCAACAAACAGATAGTATCTAAGGTGTTGCTTAAGCATGGGCTTCTATTAGAAGTGGCAGTATGTATACCTTCTGGCAGTATTTCTTTAGTCGATCTTTGAGTTTCAATTGTTGGTCCACCTTAGGCAGGTCAAGAAAAGATTTTGATAACTGCCCATTTACACTCTCAACAAACTCAGACTCAATTTGTCTCTTCAAATGATAGTAATCACTGATATTCCAAAAATGATGTCCATAACCAATTATCAGTAAAAGAGAAACCTAAAAAACCCGAACACCAATAGAGGAATATGAAAAGTTACCTTTTCTTAGCCATGTATGTCTCCCCGCGCCAAACCCATTCAAGTTTCCGAAGACAAGTTTTGCCAGGACGGTTAAAATCACATGCAGTACAGACCTCGTCCGAGACTATAGATGGTGGCTGGAATTGGGGAAAAAAAAGAGAGAGAGAGAGAGAGAGAGAGATGACAATTTGCTTATAGCAAAGATACCATTCAAACCAAATCAGTCCTATAAAGACTAGCTAAACAAATGCCAGCCAAAAACCAACAAGACAACCCCCAACGACCAAGAGAATGCTTCTCGAAAAGAACAAAAAAGAAAAAAAACATAGATTAGGCAACATAGCCATGCAGTAACACAGTACCCAAGGACTGATAAATCGCTCTAATTGAATAACACACACATGATCAAAGAATTGAAAATTATAACATAGGACGAAGGGGCATTTTCCTTTCCATTACAACTGGAAAAGTAATGCAAAAGGAAAACTATTTTCAAAGGCTGATCAGTAAAACAGCAAAATCATTGATCTTAGCCAGAGGGATAAAGTCCACCAAGGTAACAAGTAAGAACCAGCAAAAATCTATCAATTTTTCCTTTTGATAATATATTAATCAGGAAAAAGGGCAAGGCCCTAGACGTGGAAATATGTCACTCTTACATAGCTCATATCACTGAAACAGCAATCCAACTCCACGAAAGAGCACCTACCTAATGATCCAAAGAGATCACTATGGGAAAAGCTATCATGAAACACTTTATTTAAGAATCAAAATTGTAAATGCTTCCCTCAACATTTCTTAAAGATTGTTCTTTCCAGAAAGTGCAGGCACACCAAAGCACATAACTACTGACCATTTTCTGAATAATCCCACTTATTTTCTCTACACCTGCCCCAATAAATCAAAAAACCTAGCATCAAACTAATCATCAGTCATCCCACAACTCCACAAAATGAATGCCTCTTCAAAAGAACCACCTTAATTGGGATGCCAAAAATTACCACCTAACATATCTTGGATATTGAAGGTCAATTGCTACAAATAAACATTAAAATGCTAACAAACCACATTAGCACCTCCTTCACACAATAACTTTCAAAAATCGTTTGGACGCAATAGATTGGGTCCAATAAGAAAATGGCTCAACTATCTGGTCAAACAGTCCGGCCAGAACATCAGTATCATGTTCTTAAAAATGGATGTGTATAAAAATTAATATATATACAATATCACAGAATGTTAAAGACTTAAAGCATAAAACAGATATGCCATATTCATACATCAAGACGTCTATTTTTGTGCACTGCCCGTCATTATTTTCTAGTAGATTTCTGGTTTAAATGTTTCCATGTACATTCTACAAAAAAGCACATAAGAATGGATATAAGTAACAAGTTGACTACAACGTTACTTATTTAGTCTGGTGTAACGAATAGCTTGGATGGATGTTAGGTTTTGTGTACTGAAGGGTAAGTACATAATGGATATCTTCTGTGGCTATTGTAGATATGTAATTTAGACCATTGAATAGTTTAGACTGTATCACATTGTTGCTAGTAGTGTAGTTTCGGAAGCCTATCCTCCTTGCAAGGGTTCAACTCTTAGTTGCAACATTGGTTAGGTTTTTGCCTTAAAAATAGAAAGTGCCCATGCCCATCGAGTCCACGTGTTACTTGCAGGTTACACAAAAACTCAAACAGGCTACAATGATTAGAAAATCAAGCACATCCAATCCAAAGTTCAACAAGCCAATTTGGTGGTTCAATCCAGGTCAACCCAAGGTTGATAACTATGCTCCAATCAATCTACCATTACGCTTCCCATGAATATTGTGTAATACAAATCAACACCTAACAATTTAAACTAGTTCCTTTCTAGATCACCTTATTCTCCAAATACCAAATTCTAATATCTCTATGTTGGTGAGTACAGTTATGCAATGGAATCCAGAACGTGGTGTTACTACATTCAACCAAAAACCAATTGACGATGACTAAAGAGCCCTTTTATTTGGATAAACCAATCTTGGGTAGTCCTAATGATGTGGGATATAAGCTCTCTTCAACACCCCCCCCCAAAAAAAAAAAAAAACCCCACACATGGGACCCTGGCAAGCAAGTACAGCTAACCAAATAAAAATAAACAGATAAACATGCATATCCGGAAATTCAAGTGGATAAGAGACTTGGCCCACTGAACACCTAAGGGTCAACTTCGATACCATGATTAGAGCATCTAAGCCAAAACCAAGTCACAATGTGTGGAGAGTCCCTTTCACTATACAAATTAACCTTGGGTGGTCATAATCATTCAATGTGGGATACAAGCTCTCTTTAAATGTAGAACATTTTGGAGTATAAAACAGGGACAAGATTTGTCTTATACTCAAAAATGCAACAATAATTTTCTTCAAAGAAGGTATAATGTGACTTGAATGCAAAAATTTCTATTTTAGAAATTTGTATATTGGAAATTATCATAAAAACACATTTTGGTTTGCTAATCCCAAAAGTTGTTTTAATCTTATGGAACGAAAATGTACCCTGTTTTCAAATATGCAATTCAAAAGACGATCCATCCATTAGGATATTAATGTATTCCCACAACTTTGGGCTTCGCCATTTGCAGAGGAGAATGGGGCTAGGAAACCAGTAAAAGAGCAAGAGATGTTTAAGAATATATGATTATTCCATGTCTTGAACAAGATGGTTTGACAAGGACTCCTATATCCAAAGGATGCTTCTAGCTGTGGTGAATTTCACCACCAATAGGTACATCATACCAGCTACTTTCCTTTTGTGGACTCCTATATAATTTAAGGCGCAACGTTTTTTTAACCATATGCTCTCCGTAACCCTTGCGAAGAAGACAATTTCCAAGCTATCAGACAGGAACTGAATGCTAAGAATTAATAAGAGGCACTTATAAAGCAAACACAATGAGTATCACTCCATAACTTTATACAGGTTAAATCAAGTAACTTTTGAACGTCCACCTTCTTTGTTACCCATCTTCAAACTTCATAGCTTATAAAGAATGCTTTTAGAAGTTGAAATGACAACATGATTATATTTTTAAAAAAATTCACTCTAAACAAATAGAGAAATAAAGAAGTAAAAAAATGACATGATACATATCTTCAAAAAGTATAAGCTTCCTAATTACTTCCAGGTGCATGTTTAATATGGCATTATGAATTACAAATGTAAGGGCACAGCCAAGGATCAAAATTTCGTTTCGAAGTACCGTTTCGGTCAACTCAAAAATAGAAACGTTTCGGAAACATTTCGGAAACGCAATGGAAACGCAGAAAAAATATGGAAACGCAGAAAAAATATGGAAACGCATAGAAACACAAATGCAATCCATTAATTTATAAAGATATGCTAAATAATTTATTAATTCAACATATTTATTAGGTTAACATCAATTTATACAAGAATAATTTAAATTTGAGGGAAAAAAAGGCTTGACTTGAGGCGAAAGTCACTTAAATTAGTTTCAAACACTTAATTTTTATGAAATAAACACATTTTTACATAATATTAAGGTCTTATAATACACATGAAATGCTAATGAGTACATACTTACATGGTTACATCCATTCCCCTGTGGAGTGTCGAGCAGGCTCATACATCGGTGTAGGCTCTGGGTAGCTACTTAGAGAAACTCTATATGTGACATAAATATGATGACAATAGTTACTCCAAATCATATTATTACGGTAATATAATCCAATTAATAATACTATTTTATTATAATACTAATAATGAAGGGTATCAAATTAAATTAATGATACTTATGTATACTTAAAAATTAAATGTAATTGCAGTGGGTATTAAATATAATTACAGTAGGTATTAAATATAATTACATTAGGGTATTAAATGTAATTGTTAATACTTATAACAAAAAAAAAAGCAAAAAACTTGCACAGCAGTGAGGTATTAAATATAATTATAGTATGTATTAAATATAATTATAATGGATATTAAATATAATTATAGTAGGGTATTAAGTGTAATTATTTATTCTTATAACAAAAAAATTATAAAAGACAGAAGAGCAGTGGGAATTAAATGTAATTATAGTGGGATATTAAATATAATTATAGTGAGTATTAAATGTAATTACAGCGGGTATTAAATGTAATTATAATGGGGTATTAAATGTAATTATTCATAATGAACCGAATATATCACTGTTTTGTCGAAACGGTACTGTTTCGATCGAAACGGTTCGAAACAATGCCGTTTCGACCGAAACGGTCCGAAACAGTACCGTTTCGACCGAAACACTGGAATTTTGTGATTCAACTACTGTTTCGTTTCGGAGTGTTGAAATTCCGAAACGTTTCGGACGTGTCGACACGACATTTTGATCCTTGGGCACAGCAGCATTCCTATTTGCACAGGTTTCTTGGTAGATTATCCGTTGGTCTCATTGCCACCAAACCATACATTTCCTGATATTGCAGACTCATGGGTAGAAACAAAAAAGAAACTAAGGTCTCTAAATACAAAATTCAATCAATCAAGATCATGAGGTACTACAAACAGTGGTAAACTGTTCAATCAAGTACCAATACTAATCTCTGTCGCCTTGTTCAGTAAATAATAGATAAATCACAATCATGAACAGTAGGAAACAGTGATTCAAATAGTGTTATCTAAATGTGCCAAGAGTGAATTTATTAATTCATTTGCATACCTGAAGCCTGTTTGTCAATATGATGTTTGGATACATTGCAGCCACATCTAGATGATATATCAAGGGGCATTCTTCACGTATGGGGTCATCTCGCAGCCTCATAAGCTGGATGTTGAAGATAAAATTAACACAAAAGAAGATAAATACATGATTCTATTGCCAAACTAAAATCTTAATACTATTACATCACAAGCTCAGATGATTAAATTATCAACCAAAAATGAATGTTAACCAAACTTCACAGGCTTTGAGATAGGAAAAATTATCAAAAACAACAAGTAGAATCCATATCATCCCCCCATATTTTGGATTGGTAACACTTCACCCCCACCCCCCCCTCAAACTTCAATTCGTGATACCTAGCCTCCTTGAGCTAAATGGTAAAGTGCAAACTGTTACAAAAAAATCTCTCAGAGAACTAAACCCAAAACACACAAGGATTATACTGAAACAAGCACAGCAGCTAGATTTTGAAAAGTTCATAAATTAAATTTCAAGGACTTCATCTTATATATATTCATACAAGGAAGGCCATATGTATTTATATCCATTATGCACAGACACACACATAACAGTAGCCATGTGCAACTCTCTCTCTCTCTTACACCCCCATCCCCCAAAAAACATCACGCAGCTGACAGCCCACAATTTCTCTCTGCCTCTCCACCAAATACAGCCCATAATCGTTTTTTTATATCTATATCTTTTTTGAAGTGGGTGTGTATATCTATATCACTACATTATATACACCACATAGGAGCTCAATTTTCTCCATTAAACCACCACTGCAATACAGCAGTTCATGTGAAAATAATTGATATAGTAATATTACAAAAAAGAAATTTGGGTTTGGAATTCACTAATTTAAGGTCTTTGCAATTGTTCATAATTTTTTCCACCTGGTTTTGATGTTTTTGTTCTTCTCTAGTACTTGAAAATCGAAAATTTGGTGCAACACAGGTAGCTCATCACCAATCTTGTCTCTAACTTGGTCTAGTAAATTGGTCCTGAAAGAGATCTGGAAATGTGCCAGAACACTGGTTCCTCAAACAGTCTAGCCACCATTTTTTGTTGGAGTAATTTGTTCAAATGCCGACATTGATCCATAAATTTTTTGAATTTTTGAAGACTCGTGTTTCTTGCGTCTTTTGTCTCCGGTTGAAATGAGGGTGAGAACTGGCTGAAGTGAGCTTAGAAGAGACTAAAGACTTATACTCCTTTTGCACCTATCTCACTGAATCGGCAGAAACTTAAGTTTATAACTTGTTTAGTTTATATTTAGCTATTGCTGAACAGTCAAAATAATTCACTTTTCCATGAGTTCCAGATTCAAGTTTCCGACTTGTGTTTGAAGATGGAAAGATGTGGGTTTCTCTGACAAACTTTAGAAGATTTTGCGATAGGACATTGTATAGGTTGATATATCAGCAACAAATAAGATAAAATGGTCAACATCCAGAACAGAAATGGATTCAAAGCACATGAAAGGAAAAATAAGTGGGGCCCCTAATTCAGTGCCAAGCATCAGTGTCATAGACTTGGCCACAGGCTTGACAAAAGTAAAGAAGCAGCACCTTTTCCATGATGGCATTCTTCACTTCATCATAATTCGAGACAAATTCCAAGTCCATCTTACCCTCTACTCTAATAGCATAGTGCAAATCACGATCAAGGTTGTTGATTAGTTGCTGGAAAACAGAGTACCCCCAAGTTAATCAAAAATAGACATGAAGCAAAATCTTTTCATAGAAAAATGGCCAAAAAACTGCAATGGAGCAGGCAATGAATAGCAACCACTGAGCATGTTGCCAGACTAGGTTCAAAACCGAGTTAGGTTCTTCATGACAACATATGATAAAACAATCAGTTTTCAGCTCACCATACACCCATGCCACAAAATATGTAATCAAGAAATATGACATATTGTGAGCACTGAAAACATCAATCGCCCAAACTTATTTAGGATATATTTTCTGTATACTGAAAAATGCCCACTCCTAGCCAGCTCTGACAAAAGAGTATCAACAGTGAGAACATATGTTGGAAACTGAGTTCATCATACCTCAATCTATTTTTGTTCCTTAAATGGTGTGACATAGCAATAAAGGATCACGCCAAAGAATGAATGTAGTCAAAATCCATGGATTCATATAATCATAATGCATGAACACAGGGTACCATATTTGTTTCTACCTTTTATAGCTTCATGAACATCCACTGATTAGCATAACACTACTTTTTCAAAACTCAAAAGTTACAAAAGAAATTGTTCAAATTTGAAACTTAAAAAAGCTGAAATTCATGAAAATACCAACTGAAAAAGTTAATTATAACTAATTTTCAACCAGGTCTAAGGGAAAAAAAGTTTTGAGAAAAACAGTTAAATTTCTTTAGCTGCATATACAGAGCGCAGATTAAAATATCGAACACAATCATATATGGACAATGGAATTGCATAGATTTTGCATATCAAAAATGCATTTGACCATAGAAGAAAAAAAAGGCTTTGAACCCCATAGATAGGCATAGACCAACTATTTCAAGAGATCAAAACTGTCAAATAAGGGGGCATTACCCAATGTTGTACTGCTTATGGATTAAGGGCAAATCTTACTCACTTGTCCTGTCCATTTTCCAAGTCTCCCAAAAACCAAACTTGACCCTTACTTTGTCTATCAATCTTAATTGGAATACAGATTTTCAAAAATTTCACTAGTAGCGCAAAGCATGAAATATTTAGGTGATCTACTGGTCATCAGACTTTCTTGCAAAGGGTTCTTGCATAAACCCTAACTACCATGCAAAGCTAAAGGACAGTCTTTTATAATACTGTTTAGTCAGACAAATTCTAGTGCTTTTTGGTCTTCATTGTCATCTGTTTTCTGTTCTAACCACGTAACTCGTTTCAAGTCAAAAAACCAGATAACCAACAACTCCCAATTTATGTGATCTTCTTACTGAATGATATAAGAAAAATGTCCCAGTGATGAATCCACATAATAGACTAATGCACGTGGCCAGCACCGTACATGTTGGGAGGATCTTCAGAGAGATCTAAGAGGGCCAAATACTTCTTTTTTAGCACAAAAAAAAATAAGCAAATTCCCCTTCTCAAGATAGCAAATATTAATATACTATTCTTGAGGATTTTAAGCAATAAATTTGTAGCTTTTGGGTGAAAAAAACTAGTGGTACACCGTATAAATAAATTTGCTCAATGCAACATTGGATTGTCATTCTATAACATCAAACTTTGTGCCACTAGTCAGCTTGCGATACTTGAAAAGGGACAGAGCACTAGGCTGTAATGAAAAATGAGCTCAATCCAATTTACGAAATCAATGCATCCTAGATACAATTTTTTCGAAAAGAATGAAAGAAACTGTTTGGCAATGGTTGTGGAAAACATGGAGACAACTTACATCAAAGGCAGATGGATCAAGTTTAAAACTACTTGAAAGGTCAGATCTGAAAACACCACTTTCTAGGCATTCTACGTGGCCACCGATGTATGTTTCACTCTCAAGGACTTGATTCTTGTAGAATTTCTCCGGATCAGATTGATGTTTATTAGGGCAAATGATATTTCCCTTGTATGCCTGCAAGCATGATAAAAGGAAAGTAGTGATATACTATACAGAAACTTTTCAGACAAAGGAAAAGAAAAACAAACACACACCTGGACCATAAGAAGCATTTCACAAAGGGTTCCACTTCCTTTTCGCAAAACCTCATCTGGCGGCATTGGTATTATAGTTGCAAGGGAAAAAATGAAGGGATGAACATAAGTCATATACAAGTAGTAAGTTGCAACAGCATCAGATACAGAATAGGAGGCCATCATCTGAAGCAATAAATTCAAACGCAAAAAAAAATATTAGAAATACTTTCAATAACATAATGGATAAAAGATGATGCACTGTTTTAATTTCAAATATAAGGTGACATGGATAGCAATGGAGCTCAGTAAGAAGAAAGATAGTGTTCACAATCACCCAACAAAAAATTAAGTCCATATGAGTTGCCGCCTAGGCCATCAAAGTCCCTCATCTATAGGCAGCTAGAAACTATATAATAGATGGTATCTCACTGTAGGCACCTCCGCGACTTTATATGCTCCTACAACTTTAAGAAAAAGGTAATGGGTTCCTAAGATTTGGTGGATCAGACATGAGGAAAATTTTACCACTCGTATAACCCAAACATAGAACTTGGAAGCTGAAGAACACCCCTCCTTGATAGAAAGGTAAAAGGTAACTCAATGCTTGGTTCAGAGAGCACTCGTTGAGTCATAAGATTTTTTTGTTGCAAAATGTTACGGCCTAAATGCTGAACTACCCTACTTCTTCAGATGGGTGTACACCCCAAAGTGCTCCCAGACCATGCACACATCCTTTCATGGGCTCCGTTGATAATTTGCACAAAACTAATACCTGGGCACCTTTACACAAACTTCTTGATGTCCATTGAATGGCCAAGACTGACTGACTGCCTCAGCTCCTACATTGAACTCTCTATACACACAGACTTGTATGCTTTTTCAGAAAGGTAAAAAAAAAATCAGATATTTCTGTCCATGGCAGCACTGGTTTTTAGGACAGTCTCCTCAATGATGCAGGTCTTCGTCAGCATAGGCATCTCTGTTTTCCATCTCAATAACTAATTATGATCATCTCATATGGTATTAAATCCAATTACCCCAGTTGTCTCTACCACTCTCTGTACTGTACTGCCTACTTCACTTCAGTTGCAAGTGATAATCAATGATGCAGGTCTTCGTCAGCATAGGCATCTCTGTTTTCCATCTCAATAACTAATTATGATCATCTCATATGGTATTAAATCCAATTACCCCAGTTGTCTCTACCACTCTCTGTACTGTACTGCCTACTTCACTTCAGTTGCAAGTGATAATCAAGCAACTTTGCACATAGCTTCTCATCCTATGTTTCATGAAAAGACAAAGCTCAAGGATCAATTGCCAGATGTTTTCGCTAAGGAGTTGGGTTTTAAACGTCTAACTGTCATTTGTTCCAAATTGGGATTATATGATATATAGCTTGAGGGGAAGTGTTACAATATTGTGTCAAGTATACCACTCATGAAGATATACTTGCCTTCTCAATTTTTGTTCTCCACTGCAAATATATCCATAACAAGAATGATTAGTGATTTAACCTACTCTCTTGACCAAAATCTATGTTCTTCTAGTAAACCCCAACTTCAACAACTACAAGCACACTGGCCACTGCCACATGAAAATTGCAAACAGCAATCACTGGAATGTCCAGATTTATCCGTGTTTCTGCCATATCACTATTTCGTCCTATTTCACTCTAAAGTACTCTATAAAGTTTTCAGTTCACCAGTGTTACATGTTATTGGCCATTAGTCATTCAACTATTTCCATATACTTTGGCTTCAGTTCTATAAAATGCAGCTATTTAGTGAAGAATAGACCATCTCCAGGAACACATACCTGGGGTCTTTCCTTTGCAAAGCGAACCATGTCCTCAGGATTCACTTCCAGTGGATCATACCCCAACTTAGCCTTTGTGACAGCCTGATATATCACCAAAAAGAGTAAATGTTATTCTTCGAAGAAGTATAACACAAGGAAAGGAATGAAAATATTCAAGGGACAAGTTCAATAAGAATAACATAAGCCTTTCCTGTAACAAGAAGGTTTGTGTTTCTCTAACAACGTTTGTGTGCAGTTTACATGCCACTTTGCGTTGCAACAATGCTACATCCACCAAATTTTGAATCCCAAATCAGTGTAAACCATAGGATTAGTATGTCCCACAACCTCTCACTAACCATTCAATGGCTATCAATGTGACAAATCATTTGGGATCCAAAAATTTGGTAAAAGTTGTGTTGGACACATCATTTCTCTTGCATTGAAGGTACTCACTTGAAAATATCCGTAGGAACTATGTCTATCACATTAAACGTTTAACGTTTAAAATCTTTTTGGACCCAATTGAAAAATCTAATTGACGCAAAATTAAGAGAAATGATGAGGATTTCTGGACGAAAGGCATGATCCTCTTAGGATTTCTGGACGAAAGGCATGATCCTCTTACATTATAGCTAACAAAGCAGAAGTTTAAGAAGCATGAATCAAGAATTCAAGATACATACAACTTAAGCATGATGTCATCTACTTTTGTCCTCATTATGAATTAATAGCATCAGCATCCAGGTAGATCACACGAATCAACCACATCAGAATTGTATCCTTATAATTTGATTATTTGTATGGAGGAAAGTGAATTGTGTCCTGGATGAATCAGTCTCACAAAAAGGCACAGATTACACAAATTATATTCATTGTTTTAATTATGATGAAAGCTACAGAGATATGATGAGCATACATTCAAACTTGTAGGGCTAGAAAAAGAAACATTTATCGGACCGTCATTATTATGTGCTGCATCAAATACAAGTATGTCATTTTATTATAATAAAACAATCCGATAGCAGAAACAGAATTTACAAACTCAAATAAGCACAAGACCTCGAATCATGGAATTTCAATGTTGACAGGATCTAGGAAAAATATTAGCAAACGGAAGATAGATTCAGAGTCTTGAATATTGAAGAACCACGAATCCAAAGCAGAGATTTGCACCTTTAGGCCTTGGCTCCCTTGAGGTAGATAACTATCACGTTTGACCCAAGCAAAACAATCCAGATGGCATGCAAATTTAGCACGACATTCCCCTTGATTCTTGTCACAGAGAAATCCTAACTCCTGCAGCTCAAAAAGAAAACACAAATAAGAAAGCAAAAATAATCAAAATTATAGGTAGTAAACACTCGTACTTCTTGGATACACTTTCCATGTACAACCTATAAATGAAAATAACTCATGGTTCATGTATAGATCCAAAACATAATGGAAAATGCTCGTCCTTTTGAGTTAAATGTATAGTACATTTATTAATTCTTTTACGTAGCATACTCCATTGTGCTGGAAGTTTTAAAAGATTTCACTATATTTTTCAAAATCAATCAATTTAAAAGATCATGCAACTAGGAAAACAAAGAATATTGAAATCTTACTTACTATCCTGATTCTCTGTTCAATGCTCTCATTGTCAATCGGAAGATTCATAACGTCCCGAGTAGGGTATCCTCTGAATTATGATTAAACTCATCTAATATTCTTTTGCGGCTTTTGTGTAATAAAAATAAATTATTTTGTGAAATATGTTAAATATCAAAAAAAATATAAAAATGGTAAAAATATGATAAAATAATGGATTTTACTACATCTATGATACATTAACATAGATATAATGTCACACTCTTTAACATGAATTTTTCACCACCAATTGTATCCCACTCAAATTCATTTTCTTATAAAAAACAATTTTTATTATATTTCGTTTCATGTTTCGTATCAAATTTTCCGTCTTATATTTAATCAGGAGAAAATCATATAATATTCATCCATACAGTGTAGCACATTTTTTCGTTCAGGATTTCATTTACCATGAAAATGTGCCTCGGTCAAGAAGAACTCTGGTTGAGAACTAAATGAAGATATCTTACAAGTCATGCATATATGAGAACTAGGCTGTGTACAACCACTTCTAGCTCTAGGATTGCAAACATGAATCTCAACCCTATAGCATCACAAGAATTTGCTGCTGATTTAAAACTGAATGCAACTGTAATTTATAACTTAGCATCATTTAGAAAAGTAACATTTGACTTTTGTGGATATAAATGCAGTGAGTCAGTGACACAACCAACACCAGTCAAATAGCAAAGATGTTTTCCAATCCGACAAAACAAAGTCTGTTAGACGCAGCAGTTTTAACTGATGGATAACAATTAAATCCTATATATGAGATAATATGTGATTTCAATATTTTTTGTACTTTTTGAACAAAGGCATGCAAAGATTTCATTTCATCTAATTTCAGCACTCCAAATTGGCACGTTGGCAGCATTAACACCACGTAATGGACTAGCATGCAAGAAAGAGACGTGAATTTTAGAATTCACAAAGCGAAGAAATACAAGGTTTCAAGTATATGATCAATCTCAAAATTTTAACTGAGGATATAGTTTAGACTTGTGGCGAAGAAAAGTCAGGAGAAAGCCATCACTAAATTAATGCTAACAATACAAACAAGCCAAAGGGCCAATTCATTTAAAACAAACTGCAACTAATGATCTGAGATACATACATCACTCATTCTAAACCCATTATGGGCAGCTCTGCTTTCCAGAAAAGGCCAATCAAAAAAGTCACCATTATATGTGACATATATACCAGGCTTCACATCTTGCATATGGGCGAACCACTGTCTAAGAAGCTCTTTCTGTAACAAAATAAATCATAGAGAAATTATAAAATATGAATCCAACTCCGTAAAATGTCAGAAGCTACCAAAGTAATATAAATAGAGTTACCTCATTTTTAACATTTGTAATCTTGAAGAACCCTTCAAATTCTGGTTTTGGAGTGTATTCCAAATCTTCTATATCTTCCCCAACACACTGAATAGAATTTGTGGGAAAAAATTTTAATTATCAGTAACACAGCATAACTCCATCATTTAAGGGCATAGATCACAACTCAGGACATGAAATTGCAACAATGATGCTTATGTAGACAAAAAGCAATAACGACTAAAATAACCATTTTTGAGTAAGAAACCCTTCTGCTTTAACCAACACTTCTTGTGTAAATACTTTTTTATCTACAGTCGTTGTGTAACAAGGGAAGAAATTTGACCAAGGCCCCTAGAAACTAAAAACCTTTTGAAGTCAAACATATGATATAAATACATATAAATATATATATATATATGATGTTGAATATCAAATAAATGCAACATTGATGACTAGCATGACAAAAAAAGTCAAAAGTAAGAATTTCACATGGAATTGCGGTTTGGACCATATTTGATAAAGTTTTGAAATGAGTAATCCTCACACTATTTTAATTATCAGCTCATATTTTGTTGGCACAGTGTTATACAAGCGTCCTTATGTTTTAGGACTTAGGAGTCAATAGGTACTTCACTAGTATCCAAATTTGCTAGACATAAACTGCAGTGGTGGTTCATGGGCCTCGTATAGGGCTGACTATTGTGTTTTTTTGGTCTTTAGATGCAGTCTTTAATCAGTCTAGAATAGTTCTAAAATTCAAAGTTTTGGAGTTTCTCTCTTTGGAGACATAGTGATACTAAATATAGAACAACACTATCCCATAAGTATATAGGTAATGCTTAAGCTCAATGGAGCTGTGTTTAAGATCAAATAGTGTAGTGAGATACAACCCCCTTAGAACCAAGGCCCAAGGAATTATTAGCCAAATTCTAAGAAGATTCTTCTTCTTCTTCTTCTTCTATTTTCCCTGCTGCTGAATTTACTATTTGAATCACAACAGCCCTCAATTTCTTTGGTCTTCTTTAAACCCAAGTTTGATATCCCTGTTTCTTTCTACACCAGTTTGTTGTATATGATAAGATTCCATCTGTGAAGAATTTCCAACGAATAAAAAACGGCAATTCTAGGACAATCACTTTGCCTTTTCGGGCCACTTTGTTTAGTTCCACTCTTTCAAACCTTAAAAGGTACAAGCTTTGCATAACCTTTCCCACTATCTATCTGATTGAAGGTGGTTTAATATCCTTCCAGCTTCTGGTTTAATATCCTTCCAACCATCATATTTGCAGCATTAGCACCTATTTGAGATACCAACGTCAACTCCTACCAGAAAGGTCCCACACCCTGTGGACATTATTTCAATCCCCCATGCTCTTGGTGGCATGTTTAATTTTTAGAAGTTCAGCAGCTCATTACCCATGTAGAACAGGTCACAGTCCATATTATCTCCACCATTGGCAATGTTGTGAAACAAGAGATGACAAAAAGGGCGTCAGTTCCACTTCTTCAAGCACACGTCCTTTACTTTTTCACTTTGTCATTCCATCTAATGAAAATCTCATTCCAAATGCATATTCAGGTGTTGTCCCTAAAATGTTGTTCATATTCACTAACTGCCTCTATTTTGGTGATTATACACTCATTTTCCTTGATAAGCGGAGCATTCACATCCCTATGATCATAACACCATCCACTTTCAAGATCTTCTACGCAACTAACATCAGTGCCACAGTAAACTCACAAAAGGTGGATTCTACAACTCTATCTTTTCTGCCTCAAGACAGAAGACCCAACACAAAGCAAGGATCTGGCCAAATGCTTGTTTCTAAAAGTAAAGCATCGTGAATGATGTCCTCTAACATAAAACAAATATAGACCTGTCAGCCTACACATCAAGAGAGTCTTTTACGATGGCAATAGATAAACTCGGAATACATAAACTTTATTCAGCCAACAAATGTCTCCAAAACAAATCATATAGTTGTTTCATATTCTTGGAAATTCACCTAGAGCCAAGTACTAACACCCCTGGACCCTTGCTGAAAAGAAGGCATAGCGCCGCCTTCTTTTATTAGAAAGAACAGTGGGAACCTGACACCCGCTTAAATTGAAACAACAATCGTGGCGTCATCTAAGATACCATGCAGACTGATTTCTTTCAGATTGAGCATTTTTCCAAATGCAATAGATGACCCACCTGTTAGGGCCATCTCCTCAATACATCATTCAAGCCCCCTGTTGAAAATACAGAGTTCCTACACAGTTGAGAATACTATACTCTATACCCCCCATCTGAAGTTTCCCATTATGAAGCTACGTATGTACAGAATCATTCTAGAACATGTAAAATGTAAAGATAAAGATTTTACTCTATTATATGCACCTCTCTATTAATAATCAGATAACCTTGTCCATCAACCATGTACGAAATCATCATTACTGAATCATATTCAGCGTCGGGAAATTTCAATGGAAGCTTTGTGGTCTCAATATCAAATGCACAAACATGAACTTCAGCACGTTGCAGGAGATCAGCCCTTCTTTCTAGCATGAGCCCAGCACTGGATATGCAAACATCATACCACTGCCCACATCTTACATCTAATAACATGAAGTTCAAAGTGAAACCAGAGTGAATAGACAATTAAATAACAACGTCAGAAAGTATACAGGAAACAAAGAAGCTTTGCAATCAACTAAATAGGAAAGAAACTTTCCCAAAAAAATAAATAGAAAAGAAAACCACCATTGTCAATTGCAAAGCGAACGTGGTAAGGGACATCATACTCGCGGAGATCAGCAATACAATCTATAAAATCTTGAGGTCGTTGTTTGCTGCATGTCAAGCAAAAAACCATCTCAAAACTTGGAAAATATTTATTGTCAATAATTTTTTTATTAGCAAATAAGAAAATTGCTCCATATAAAATAAATTTTGATTCAGGCCTGACGCCCTTACCTTTTCCCTGTCAATATGGATTCATATGCTTCAGCAGCATCAAACTTTGCCTGGTTTCTTTCAACAACGTGCATTAGATCACTCTTTACATGCATCAATTGTTGCACCGTATCGAAAGATATCTTTAAATAAGATTTGCGCAAACCAGACAGATGGTTTTTCTGTCATAAGCATACAAAGAAATTAAAATGTAACTTCCAGGACAATTTGTACAAAAACATAGAAGTTCAAACATCTCAGGCAAAAACTAACCCATACTGATACCAGAAATATACATGATAGAACTATCGTCAACAGAAACCCAACACATCAAGTAAAATTTGAAGGGTTGGTTATAGACATGCAAAAGGCTCAAAAAAAATAGTTGCCTATATGATTATGATGAATATAGGTCAGTTTTTTGCTTCTAAACTCAGAAACTTCTCCGATTTATGAAGGATAGAAAAGGCCACAACATCTGTTGGTCCACATAAGTCATAAGCCCCTGAGTATTTCATTTGTGTAGCTTGACTACATAACAACAAAGTTCCAGCTGCCTAGGTAGAGTAAGTGAACAGTGGTGCACTGAATTATGCCCAATTCTAGCTACTTGCCTAAATCCATTGTTGGTTCCCACTGATTTCACTTCTATCTCTTGCCAATATAACTCGATAATTTTGTACACACCAAAAGCTTGCTAAACTTCATTTCAGAATTTGATAGCAAGACTTTATACCACCCCAACATTGCTAGGCCACCCAATGTAACTAGAATATCCCAATAAAACCTCCCTTAATCTTCTTAAGTCTAGTTTAGCAGAACCTGTCTCAGTGATCAATTCTATCCATGAGTTGAAGATGAAGCACTAAAAGTTGAGATGGGGACAGTTCATGGACATCTTATTCTTTTACCATCAGCACAAGAAGAAATATGTCCATACAAAATCAAAATAGATGTCTATTGCATGCCACACAAGCACAAGCCTCTTATTCATGACGTGCAAAGGCAACAAAACTTTATTTCGGGTTAGCTAATAAAAAAATTTAGTGTGTGACGGGTTGAGGCTTATAAAAGCCACAGCAGCAAGTCTCCAAAAACAAGCTTTCTTCTTAAGCTCATATTAAGTTAGACCTGGTGGGGAAAGCTTGTGTAGGCCATTTGCAAGAGGGTTGGGCTCTATCTTTGATTTAGGCAAGCTGGTGGGTTCAACGGAGCTTGTAATACATCAGCTACACTATTCCTAACAAGCTTTTGTAGTAGCATTGATGTCAGTAAGCTATGTTACATGCAACTAGACAATATAACTAGACTTAACTAGCTCAACAAAGTCTTATCCTAACTATTTCAGATTGGTTACATAGAATCATGTATCGTCAACAAGCCAACATGTCATTATTTACAATATCAGTTAATATTCATTGTCTTCTTCCACCCCTAGTAACACCATGACTGTATATCGCGTCAGTCTTCCTGACTATTGCAGTTGTAGATCTTTTTAAATGCACCAAACCATCATAGTCAATATTCTCTCAATTTATCTCCTGTTGGATATACATCTATCATTTTGCAAATACATTAATGCCTAATCCTAGCCTCTCTTGTTTAACCAAGCATCTATCGTACCATCTTTCTTTCATTTACCATCCATTAATTTCAGAACATTGCGAGCACTTTACACCATCAAGCATCATTGATCTCATGATTATTCTGTAGAACTTCCATTTCAACTGACAAGGTATATGTCAACTACATAATATATCACATGCACTCCTCTACTTAATATATCTTGCTTTAAATTAGTCGATAATATCCTCTTCAATCTCACCCACCTCGTAAATAATCGAACTATATAGAATTGTCCACTCTTTGATATATCTAAATCATCAAGTTTTTTCTACATTGGACTTCTAGTTTTAAAAAGTTAGATTCCATATTCTCAGTTTTCATTCTACTTATCCTAAATCTTCTTGATTCCTAATCTAGTATTAATATTTACTTTAGTGCATTAATTAACCTTATATCATCAACAAAAAACACACACCATAGACCCTCAACATAGATGTGCCTCTTCAACTCGAACATTAGTTAAGGATGATCCTCTAATCTCTGGTGTAAGCCTCCTGCAACTTAAATTTACTAGCTTCTCATGTGGTTGTTCTCAATATAGTCATGACACAATTATACTTGTTCTCAATCTCAGCAATGGATCTATTTATTACTCCTCCTTTAATAAATTACAACAAAAATTGTTGTACATGACTTATCCCAGGCATAAATCCATCTCCTCTTTCCCCCAGGCATCAAGACAATTCTCCTAGATCCCAACAATCACATAAACATGGGTATTGCTAAAATTTCTATTACTGGGACGAAATATGGCATGAAAATACAACGCATTCTGTAATACAAAGGCACTAAATAAAAAATGGGCATGAAAGGAAAAAAGAATGTGGTGTTGCAATGATGTTGGCTTACAAGATCAAGATCCTCTTTCTCCACAATTTCAATGTCAGCAATTTGTCCCTCATAACGCCGTCTCAAATATGCATCAACATCCATCTCCATTTTATCCTGCAATAATATGAGGTGGCAATTAATTAAGAGTTAACTCTACAAACACGATTCTTCTCCACAAATTATATAATAATTACATACCTTTGTGGTTGCATAAAAATATGGCCGGAACTTGTACTTTGCTTTGAAAGTTGATCCATCCTTCAATCAAATCATTGAAACGAGTAAGAAACACGTACAGCTTTTCCAATCAGCTTCTAGAAATTCATTAAAACTTTACCTGACAAACGAAATAGAGATCAACGCAACTGTAGACTTTATGTGTAGTTTGATCTTCCCAAGAAGACTACAAAATAGTACAAAGAGTCGGTTATAATCGGGAAAAA